GCCTCCCAAGTGCTGGGATTAAAGGCATGCGCCACCAACGCCTGGCAGGTCTCTTGTTTTTGAGACTGAATCTTGCTGACAAGCCCAGACAAGCCTGGAACTTGGTTTGGGGATTTTTGTGCAGAAGCTTTGCTTTCCTGGTTTTGTTTTCTTAGGATGTTAATACATAACATTTGTTCCTCTTTCTTAATACCTGATCACTGATAAGGGATTAAGTTAACTCAGTTTGACAATGAAAATGTTGGATCAACTACTTTTATCCTGGACGTTTTCAACATGCATGCTAGACGTGCCTTTTATCTTGAAGTCTCGTTGTGTATGATACACTTCAGAGATATGTCTAAACTCAGTCCGTGCTCAGTTACCTGGTTGTTTAAATGTCTTCCTACAGCTAGCTTGCTTGCCATGATCCAGAGTGATTCCAACATTGTCGTTGTTTCTGTATTCTTAAATCTGTTACCTCCTTGCCCCTCCCATCTTCCAGGAGAAACTGGGTCATTTGTTCTGCCGGAATCTAACTTTCTAGGTGTGGTTGATGGCTTCCTTCATGAGTTATTTGACTTGGCAGCATCTGAACCTTTTATGTGCTAAGAGTTTGAACTTAGATCTTTATTAAGGTCAGGGTTTTTTTTTTTTTTTTTTTTTTTTTGTGGTGTGGGTTTTTTTTTTTTTTTTTTTTTTTTTTGGTAAGAACGTGATTTGTTGTGCTACCCATTTGAGCACTTTATTGTCTGCCACAATTGACTGTAGGTTTAAGTGCTCAAAACCTAAAATTATTTACTTAATTTTTATGTGTATGAATGTTATACCTGTATGTATGTATGTATGTATGTATGTATGTATGTATGTATGTATTGTACATACCTGGTACCCATGGAGGGCAGAAGAGGGCCTTGGAGTCTCCTCCTTGGAATTACAATTACAGATGGTCGTGAGCTGCCATGTGACTGTTGGGATCTGAACCAAGGTTCTCTAGAAGAGCAGCAAGTGCTCTTCACTGCTGAGCCACCCCTTCAGCCCCCATAATCCTTAAAAAAAAAAGAAACATTTTTAAAATTGTGTCTGTGTAGCTGTATGTGTGGGTGCTCACTGAGGCCAGAGGTAGCTTTAGATCCTATGGAGCTGGAGTCATGGGTGTTTCTGAACTGTCTGATGTGTCTACTGGGATTTGAGTTTAGGTCCTCATGACCAAGTATCGAATGTTGTTAAATGACTGAGCTGTTGATCCATCCTGCTAATAATTTTTTACCTTTATTTCAGAGAAGCTTGATTCTTTGCTCTCAGACTACGATATCCTCTCTTTGTCTAATATCCAGCAGCACTCTGTAAGGAAAAGGGACCTACAGTCTGCGACGCACTTAGAAACACTGCTAACTTTTTCAGCTTTGAAAAGGTAATTGGAATTATACATGCAGTAATATTGGGACAGTGTGAGTGAGGGTGGGGCTTGTTTTGACAAAAGCAGTAAAAGGTATCTACAGAAATCTTAGGAAAGCTGGGTGTTGTTGGTGGCACACACCTTTAATCCCAGCACTTGGGAGGCAGAGGCAGGTGAATATCTGTGAGTTCAAGGCCAGCCTGGTCTACACAGTGAGTGCCAGGATAGGCTCCAAAATTACACAGAGAAACCCTGTGAATACTTCTTAAAGATTTGTACTTGATGTAATTACGGTATGTGTGATTCTAACATGTTTATTGCATATTTTTAAATATTTAAAAATTTTATCTGTATTCTAAAGGAAATGAGTATCCCAATAGTTTATAAAATCCTAACAATTTTATTAATTGAATACTTATAATACTTTATAGTTTTAAATTTTTTTATGCATTGTTTTGGTATGAGTGTCTTGCCTGAATGTATGTCTGTATACCATGTATGTGCTTGGTGCCTTCAGAGGCCAGAAGAGGGCATTGGTTCCCTTGGACTGGAGTTATAGAGGTCTGTGAGCTACCATGTGGGTGCTGGGAATCCAGCCGGGATCCTCTGGAAGAGCAGCCAGTGTTCTTAACTGCTGAGCTATCTCTCCAGCCCCTAATTTAAATTTTTTTAATGATTTGTTTTTACTGTTTATGTTTGTGACTGTGTGAGCATATGTGCATGGATGTGTGCTAGTGCTTGAGGTGTGTACTAGTGTCAGATCCCTTAGAGCTGGAGTTACAGGCTCGTGTGAGCCACTCAGTGTGGGTGCTGGGATCTGAACTGACAGTTAAAAAGGCAACAGGATGGGACTGGAGAGAGACGGCTCTGGTTGACAGCACTGACTGCTCTTGCAGGGTACCCAGTTCGATTCCCAGCAGCCACATTAGTACAAATATAATACATAAGAAAAAATACCTAAAATCTTATTTAAAAAGTAGTAGGGGAATATAAATGAGCTTTTTTAAAAAAATTCACAAGATAAGACTTTTTCACATAAAGATAAACATGAGTAATGTTATCAGTGTTTTTTAGGGCAAAACCCCCAGCTCAAGCAGCCCCAAAAGCCTAGGCTCCATCCACTTAGTACTCCAGTTAAAGAGACAGTGGTGAGACACACATCAGTAATTAGGGGTCCATGGACCATCAAATTCATCTTCTAGGTTCCAACATGAGGTTTACGTCTAAGCAGAGCAAACATTGGGTCATGGGAAAGAGAGACTTATGATTAAGCAGTGCTGGTTAAGATGTGGTTCTCTGTCATTGTCTCAGTTCTGGTCCATTGGGTGGTCCAAAGACGGATGGTTGTCATTACTCTGATCCCCCCCCCCCCCAGACAGGGTTTTTCTGTAGCTTTGGAGTCTGTCCTGGAACTCGATCAGTAGGCCAGGCTGGCCTCAAACTCACAGAGATCTGCCTCCCAAGTGCTGGGACTAAAGACGTGCACCACCACTGCCCAGACAAGAGCCAGTCTCCCCAGTCCTGACAGCAGATTCTTAGTGCAGAAAACCCAAAATGCAGTTCCTGGGACTTCACTGGGAAGAACATTAGAAGACACTGATACATCTCAGGAGAGCTTTAACTGTGAAACAGGGCTTTTGTAATAGGGTGCTTTTTTTTTTTTCCATGTCCATCATAACCAAAGTGGAAAGAACATTAGTGATAATGAATAAGGAAAAAAGGCACAGTTTTGGATAGCAGAGGAAATGAGCCAAGGTTTTATGAAATGATGTATTGTGTCTCTCTAACCGTTAAAAATATATAAGCAAAACTAAAATTACCTTGTATGCTCAAAAAGTTAAAAATACTTGTTGCTCTGGAGACAGCCCTAGTCTGGTTTCTTCCTGGCAGTTGAGAGATTTATACAGACTCACAGGGAAGTAACATTTCATATTTTCAACACCATAGCTGACAAAATTTGTTCCTATGGTTGAGATAAATAACGTATCTTGCTTTGCCTTGGGCATTAGTGGGCACATTGAAAAGGTCTCTCTGTAAATATTAATGAAGTCCAGCTCAGTGACCCCAGTTTTTTTTTTTTTTTTCATAATGAAAATGCTTTAAAGTATCAAACCGTATAAAGAACTGGAACATATGTATTTTAATATCTGTACTTAATATCTACTTCCCTAGTAATAATTATGCTTTACTGTCTTTCAAGGTAGGTTCTGTTGAGAAGGAAAAAACCACAGGCTCTTTTAAATAAACCCAGAAGCAGCATTTTGGTGATTTTACACAGTAGTAGGCGTTCTTCCATAGGATATCAGTTGCTAGAAGCAGTGGGATACAAACCCATTCAGTTTCACAGTTGCCTAGCTGTGTAACCGTAAGTGTATAACTTCAGGGCGCCAGCTTTCACTTTTGTGAAGTAGAGCTAATACACAGATTATCTTAAGAGCAGGTAGATAAAAGTAACAGCATATAACATAGTCTTTAATAGTAAATGTCTGAGATAATCAGGATACCCAACTTCAGCCTTAACTGTCCACATGTGTTTCCTTATTAGTCAGTTTCCAGGAAAGATAAGTGCATAATCTTTACCCTCATTCCCCAGGAATTAGTTAATGAGTTCCTTCCTTCCTTCCTATCTTTCTTCCTTCCTTCCTTCCTTCCTTCCTTCCTTCCTTCCTTCCTTCCTTCCTCCCTTCCTTCCCTTTTTTTTTTGACTATACAGAATATGAAGGTTTGTTTTTTAAAATTACACATTTTTAACCAGAATACACAGATGCACTTATGTAACAGTATTTTTTGCCAAAACTGTATTACATAATACTCAGAAATGCAGGGAATAATCATACTCTAAAAATTAGATAGCAGGTGTGTGAATCTCAAACAGCCTTCAGACTGAGGCAGGGAATGTTTGGTGACACCACCAGAGAGAGAGCTGTGCTGCAGATGAAACCATGACTGCAGACTGCCTGTGTTCATATAGTGCTAAACAAAACAGCCTCCATTCTAGTCCTTTCAAATTGGGTCTTGGTGATACAAGAAAAAACAGTCAAGTAGAATTCTCAAGCAGTCAGATGTCTCCTTTGTAGTTTGTGTGTGTGTGTGTGTATGTATGTATGTATGTATGTATGTATGTATGTATGTGTACACGTGCCATGAAATATACAAAACTCAAAACAAAAAACAAAACAAAAAAAAAGTTGTTTTTTGTTGCTGTTGTTTTGGTTTTTGAGACAGGATTTCTCTTATTGCTTTGGAGCCTGTCCTGGAACTAGCTCTGTAGAACAGGCTGGCTTTGAATTCACAGAGATCCACCTGCCTCTGCCTCCTGAGTGCTGGAATTAAAGGCGAGCACCACCAACGCCCGGCTAGAGACCATTTTTAAAGAGTTTCTTTAGTCAGTGGGGGTGGCATACTTCTTTAGTTCCAGCACTTGGGAGGCAGAGGCAGGCAGATGTCTGAGTTCTAGGCCAGCCTGGTCTACAGAGTGAGTTCCAGGAGAGCCAGGACTGTTACACAGAGAAACCCTGTCTTGGAAAAAAAGAAAGAAAAAACAATTTTTTTTTGTTTGTTGTTGTTGTTCTGCTAAGGATTTATTTATTTATTTATTTATTTATTTATTTATTTATTTGGTTTTTTGAGACAAGGTTTCTCTGTATTGCTTTGGAGGTTGTCCTGGAAATCACTCTGTAGACCAGGCTGGCCTCGAACTCAGAGTTGCTCCTGCCTCTGTTTCCCGAGTGCTGGGATTAAAGGCATACGCTACCAACGTCCGGCTCTGCTAAGGTTTTATAACTTTGTCTTTATAGGAGAAATAATGCTACATGTACCTAGTAAGTTGTTAGCTGCTGTGGGTCTGGAGAGATCCCTTGGCAGTTAAAGCACTTGCTGCCTTTGCAGGAGACTGGAGTTTCCTAACACCCATGTTGGACGGCTCACAACCACTTGTAACTCTAGCTTCAAGGAACCCAACACTTCCTTCTGGCCTCCCTGGGCACTCACCCACATGTCCACATGCCCACACACAGAGTTATGGAGAAAATCTTTTTTTTTCCTGAGGAAAAAATATGGAACACGTCACAAATTTGTGTATCATCCTTGTTCAGGGGTTATGTTAATCCCTCTCTGCATCATTCTAATGTTAGTGTATATGACGTTAAAGTGAGCACATATTATAGATCCTGAAAAAAATTATTAGTTATAACTTGGATAGAGATATATTTGTCTCCTCTCTTCTAGATCAGAGTGAAATGGAAATTAGGTCTCTATTTTATGTCTAAACTGTGAATGCACTCTCTCTTCAGGCATTTTAAATTATACCTGACATCAAGTACTGAACGCTTTTCACAAAACTTCAGAGTTGTGGTGGTGGATGGGAAAGAAGAAAGTGAGTACAGTGTAAAATGGCAGGACTTCTTCAGTGGACACGTGGTTGGTGAGTACGGGCTTGCCTTGTGCGGTGCTCTTGGGTTGCTGTGTTCTGTGCTCATCACTCTTGGCAGTGGTGGGATTCCTGACAGAGACAGAAGAGGAAGGATTTACCTCAGTGCATGGTTTGCAAGGTTTTGGTTCGAGATGTTCTGGATCTGAGGTGAGACAGGACATCGTGGTGAAGAGGCAGCTCACTTCATGGTGCCAGGAAGCATGGAGAAAAGAGAGGAGCACAGGGACACGACACATCCTTCAAAAGCATCCTCATGACTGACTTTTCCCAAGTACATTCCGCCTCCTCATTAGTCATCCATTTAAGAGTTAGTCACCTGTGGATGAATCCCTTGGTGAAGTTAGATGACAGTAGTCTAATCACCTTTCAGAAATCTAACTGCCAACTCAGCTTTGAACACACAAATCTTTAGGGGCATTTTTAGATTTAAACCATCATCAGTCTCAAGCTTTAGCTTACTGACAAAGTCTTTCTCTTTTCCTCACCTTCTCCCTCTTTCTTGTGGATGGGTAAGTTAAGAGGTGTGATAGCCTGTTACGTGTTTTTATTTGAGCTATGTGAGTTTGGAAGCAGAAACATTCTAATAGGAGGGCATAAGTATTTAGCATGTCGTTTAGCAAGCGTCCCTCCTTTCCTCCCTCCCTCTTAACGTAGCCCATGCACACTGTCATTCCATCCCTCATCAGCCTCCAGATAGTGTAAAGCACCGACCAGAACCTGCTTGGTTTCCTTTTTACTTTTTTCTAGTTCGGGTCATTGGGCTTGATAGAATATCCTGACCCATTTTTTCTGGCCCTGATATAAGGTTTTTGTTTTGTTTTGTTTTGTTTTGTTTTGTTTTTTGGTGAGACAGGGTTTCTCTGAGTAGCCCTGGGTATCCTAGAACTCACTTTGTAGACCAGGCTGGCCTCTAAAGCTTCCCTCTGCCTCCCAAGTGTTGGGATTAAAGGCATGTGCCACCACTATCTGACTCTAATACAAATATTTTTGATAATTAAAATACCTTCTTTTTTCCCCAAGGTGAGCCTGACTCTAGGGTTCTAGCCCACATAGGAGATGATGATGTTACAGTAAGAATCAACACAGATGGGGCAGAGTATAACATAGAGGTAAGTCTATATATATTTAAGAGGGGTTGTATTTGGGGACATGGGTTTGACATGGGTTTGAGAGAGGGTCTTTTGTACTCCATGATGGCCTCTAACTGGCTATGTAACTGAGGTTGGCCTTGAACTCCTGATCCTTTTGCCTCTATTCCTGCCTTCTTTCCTTCCTTTGAAGTTGTCTTTCTTTTAGTAGCTTGTCTCTGATTTCTAAGGAGCTTTTTAGCTGTTTAAGGATGTTAAGGCTATTAGGTATGGTAGATTACATCTATAATCCTACGTGGGAGGTTTGGGTAGCAAGATTACCATGAGTTTTCTGCTTAGCACTCGGGATGGCAGGAACACGGTGTGTGTGGGGGGGGGGGGGGGGGGATGATGATGGGATGGATCACTGTAAGCTCAAGACCAGCCTGGGCTACATAGTGAGCTCTGAGCCAGTTTGAACTACATAGGGAGACCCAGGGTGCTTTAAGAAACTTAAATAAAAATCCGAAGTGCTGCATTTGTGCCGTCGCATTGCTTGCCGTGCTAAGAGTAGAGCCCAGGATCTCTTCATCCTAGCTGATATGCACACTGGCACCACATGTTTTGAGAATATTTTTCTAGTGAGAATATTTTTCTAGTGCTTTTTCTGTATGCATATGCATACTAAGTGTGGCTATCCAGACTCTTCTTCCTGTAAAACTGGGTTTAGAAAATAGTTTGTCATCAAATGTTTTTTACTTAACAATATAAACAATATAATTATGCATATCTTCTCGGGTTACTAAATATAGATCTAAATGAAGTGTTTCCCAGTCCTCTGCTGATGATCGTTAATTGTGCTTTAATTTCTTGAAGTGGAGTGTTCTAGAATGAACAGCTGTGAACACACTTTTGGTGCATATATTTAATTGGAGTAGTCTGGGTGACCAGTCTATGAGGTTTTCATTGTTGTGTTGTTTCCTTTGTTTCTGAGATTGAATCCTCCTCTGTGGCTCTGTAGGAGGCTGTACTCCCTGTGTTAGGGCCTTAGCATTCTCAGCAGCATGTATAAGGTTCATTTCTCTACAGCTTCACCAGCATGTTTGATGATAGCCATGCTAATGGGCATGAACTGGTATCTCACAATTCATTTCCTTATACATGCATAGCTCTGCATCTGTGTTTAAAATCCTTTTTATGGGGGCTGGAGAGATGGTCAGCAGTTAAGAGCACTGACTGTTCTTCCAGAGGTCCTGAGTTCAATTCCCGGCAACCACATGGTGACTTACAACCACCTTTAATGAGAGATCTGGTGCCCTCTGCTGGCATGCAGGCAGAAGACTGTATACGTAATAAATAAATAAATAAAATCTTAAAAAAAAAATCCTTTTTACATTCTTCCCAGCTGAGACTAGTGTATTTATAGAAAACTTGGTTTTGTAAAAATGGTAACAGCCCTTTGACTTGTGTGAGTTTTGTTTACTGTGGCAGAGCCATGTTATCATACAGTCTTCTAGATCATTTAGATTTCACTGAGGTTGAAATTGCAGATTAAAATGAACAAAAGCCTGCTTTTTCTGAAACTTATAGAAGGGTCAAGCACATTGTTAAGTATCCAGTCGTTTCTTATAAAAAGGATTTTTCTCTGTGTAAAACCTATCATGATAAAAAGATGTTGCATGTCTGAATGTTAAAGGCACCACATGAATAAGTGTGTTGCCTGACATCACTGCAGCGTAACAATGCTGGATTTAGGGTAGGAACTGCAAAATTATTTAAAATGAAATTATTTATGTAAAAGGATAAGACATTTTTTCTTCTTTGCAAGCTTGTATAAAAATATGCATAAAATAGTAAATAATTGAATTTATTTGCAGAATAGATAAAGATAAAGCAAGCAATTCTCTAAGAAATAATATTGCCCAAGAAAAAAAGAGTGTTGTGAGAATTTTATTTACTGTTTAGAAGTTCTTCTTTTTTTTTCCTATTTCATCGTACATGTTTTTCTTTTTAGCCACTTTGGAGGTTTGTCAATGACACTAAAGATAAAAGAATGTTAGTTTATAAGTCTGAAGATATCAAGGATGTTTCACGTTTGCAATCTCCAAAAGTGTGTGGCTATTTAAAAGCGGATAGTGAAGAGTTGCTTCCAGAAGGGCTCATAGACAGACAGCCATCTGAAGGTAAGACTTAAAAATACACTTCAGACATGACATAAGCACATCACAGAGGTTTCCAACAGTGGTATTTGTTAATTGATAAAAATAGAATGATTATTAAGTAACTCTAGTGTTTGGAAATATAGTTTTGTTACAGAAACTTAATTCTTTTTCTATTATGTAATAATTGAAAACACTAGGAAAAATAGGTGAAGCGATAATTGTCTTAAGAGACTGAGGAAAGAGACCTTCAGAAGTTCTTGTAGACCTTCAGAAATATGAAGATACCATTTTTGAAAAGTAGTCTTTAGCACTTGTAAGAGATTAATTGGGTGGAGAGCTTTGTGGTATTTGAAATATACAAAGGTTATCAATTTGGAGTCACTTAAAACAAAAAAAAACTGTTTGGGGGGGTTATTCTTCGATCTTCATTTTATTCATTTGTTAATTTTGAGACGGGGGTTTCTCTGTGTAGTTCTGACTGTCCTGGACCTCCTTGTGTAAACCAGGCTGGCCTCCTGCCTCTGCCTCATAAGTGCTGGGATTAAACCATCATCTGATAAATACATTCTTACACAGCTAGATTATTTGAAATTTTGTTAACCTTTTATATTTTCTATTATAAAGAAATATTTGTAGTTATGTATGTATACAATTTTATTGAAAAGATGTACTGGTGATTTTGCTTCTACTCACTTTAGTGAGGCTCCCAGACTGACAAGTATCAATGTCTTAGTGTGCTTTCTATTGCTGTGATAAACACCATGATCAAAAGCAACTATTGGAGGAAAGATTTTATTCTATTTTATAGCTTACAGTCCATTATAAAGAGAAGTCAGGGTAAGAACTTAAGGCAGGAACTGAAGCAGAGACCATGGAGAATTGCTGATTATTGGTTAGCACCTCATGGCTCCCTTGGCTTGCTTGCTTGCTGCCTGTTTTTCAAGGCAGGGTTTCTCTGTGAAGCACTGGCTGTCCTGGAATTTGTAAAGCAGGCTGGCCTTGAATTTAGGTATCCTCCTGTCTCTGTCTCTAGAGTGCTTGGATTAAGGGTTTGTACTACTATGACAGGTTTAGCTTGTCTTTTGTTTGTTTGTTTTTTGTTTTGTCTTAACAATCCACAATTCACAATCACCTGCCCTGGGATGATAAACAATAAGTAGCAATTCTCTGTGGTCTCTTCTTCAGTTCCTGCCTGGAACTGATCTTGAACTCACTATGTAGCCAAAGATGACCTTCAACTCCATGATCCTTCTGCTTCTACCTCCCAAGTACCAGGATAATAGTCACACACTGTCATATTTGTCCTTAATGGTATCTTGAATAATAATAAGGTAACTGTACATTAAAACTTGGGCCCCCTTGGTTGAAGGTCAACCTTGACTACATAGTGAGTTAAAGATCAGCCAAGGCTGTTGTGAGAGACCCTGTTTCCACTCTTTCCCTTGGAAAAAAAATCTACCTTTAATAACAATTAAATAATGTTTATTTCAGAAACATGTTAGAACTAAGTGTTATTATAAAAACCCTCCTTGTTTTGATGAATTTTAATTTAATAGTGCATACAAATTCATATTAGAGTTTGTTCGTCGAGTGAAGAGACGAGCTGAACCTAATCCCCTGAAGAATACTTGTAAATTACTGGTGGTAGCAGATCATCGATTTTATAAATACATGGGCCGAGGAGAAGAGAGCACCACGACCAATTACTTAGTAAGTATTGGATAACACACAGGGTGACTGAGCAAGTCATTCATGTGGTAGTATTTGACAACTTAAAGAAACTGGGCCTGTGCCAGACATCACACGATTTCCTTTCGTCTGTTTGAGGGCCATTTACTAGGATCTTACATTTCTATATAGAAACTATACTTTCAACATTTTGAGAATGCATTTTGCTTTAAAATTACTATTTTCTAAATATTAGACTAATACAGACTATATTAGGGGGGAACACTTATGCAAGTGAGCTCTTTACAAATGTTAGTATGGGGGGCTGGAGAGATGGCTCAGAGGTTAAGAGCACTGACTGCTCTTCCCGAGGTCCTGAGTTCAATTCCCAGCAACCACATGGTGGCTCTCAACCATCTGTAATGAGATCTGGTGCCCTCTCTGGCCTGCAGGCATACATGTAGGCAGAATACTGTATATATAATACATAATAAATAAATGTAGTATGGCATGCATAGGTTTATGCTTCAGAGTAAAAAATGGGTATGTTTATGAACTTGTGTGTATTTTCTGCTTGTGTCTGTATTCCACAGAGGTTTTGTCATTGTCTCGTTAAAGAGATAGGATAGTATATGAAATAAGTGAGGCACTCATAGCCGTGGTTAACCCTATGATAGGATATGAAATAAGTGAGACATTTATAGCCATAGTTAACCCTAGGATACTATATGAGACATTCATAGCCGTGGTTCACCCTAGGGTAGTATATGAGACACTCATAGCCGTGGTTCACCCTAGGGTAGTATATGAGACACACATAGCCGTGGTTCACCCTAGGGTAGTATATGAGACACTCATAGCTGTGGTTCACCCTAGGATAGTATATGAGACACTCATAGCCATGGTTCACCCTCAGGCAGAGATAGGAAGGAAAGATTAAAGAGGTATTCATACTTGATTATTTTTTTCTTTCAGTCCTGGGGATCAAACTCAGGGCCTTGTGCCTGCTAAGCAAGGGCCTGTCCTTGCACTGAGCTATACCCCCAGCCTGACATGGAACTTTCAGCATCAGCTACTACATTTTTAAAGTCAAGCAAATGACTTTTTCCAGGATTCTTTTTTCTCAGCATAACCCCATTCATCTATGATGACTTGGCACTGATTAGAATGTTGTCATTGAGGGAGTAAGAGAGAATGCAGCTGTTCATAAACCAGCAGCCCATGCTAAAGACTGTTTCCTCATTGCCTCCTGTCCCACTCTCTCCCTTTCATTCCAGCCCTCCCTCAGCCTCCTTTCCTTCTCTTCTGTCACATGGATGGATTTGTTAGGAAAAGAGTGGGGTCCATCGTACGGGAATAGCTGGAATCATTGTGACTCTTGTTCCTAAGCAAAAGAGTCTCTCTTGAAGAATTAATTCTCCTCTGGGTTTGTATGAAAGGACTCCTTGTATTTTACTTCTTTGTATTGTATACCATGAATGTGAGAATGCTGAGGTCCACTTTTTTTTTTTTTTTTTTTTTTTTTGTGGTTTTTTTGAGACAGGGTTTCTCTGTGTAGCCCTGGCTATGGCTGTCCTGGAACTTGCTCTGTAGACCAAGCTGGCCTCAAACTCACAGAGATCCATCTGCCTCTGCCTCCCGAGTGCTGGGATTAAAGGCAGGCTTCACCATTGCCCAGTATAAGGTCAACTTTTTCAAAGTGCATTTCTCATCACTACTTAAAGAACAATTTCTCCATAGCTGGAACAACCCTGTTAGCCCATTTTTTGAACAGATAAACACTCCTTTTTTGTTGTTGTTACTTTTGTTGTTTTGTTGTTGTTGTTGTTTTTTCGAGCAGGGTTTCTCTGTACAGCTTTGGAAGTTGTCCTGGAACTCGTTCTGCTTTGTACACCAGGCTGTCCTCAAACTCACAGAGATCTGCCTGCCTCTGCCTCCCAAGTGCTGGAATTAAAGGTGTAAGCCACCAATGCCCAGCTTGTTGCTCTGCCTCTATCATGTGCACATAAGCAAGTACGTGTATGCACACACGTGTGCCCATTTGCACAGAAAACATGCATATGCATATATGTATTCTTTCCCACCACAAAAAAAAATGGGGGGGGGAGCCGTATCACCATTTTACCTGTTCTAGGGCCACATTTAAGGCAATCTTGACACAGAGTAAAGACTGGCAGCTTCTTAGATTTTCTGATAAATCAGAGTTGATGTTTTCCTTTCATAATTGACTGGAAGGGCAGTATTTAAAAAGCCCAAGGTATAATATTCTTGAAGCAGTGTTTCAAGTTTGGCTCTAGGGTCCCTTCTTCGATACTATTAGTGATAAAGGTTAGTTTCTTGATGCAAGTCTTACATTTTCTTCCGTTGGATGCTTATTCCATTAGGTTTTGTTAATTTGACATGAGTTGTAGCATTCTACATAACTTCATCTTTTATATCCACAGATAGAGCTAATTGACCGAGTAGATGACATATACCGGAACACTTCATGGGATAATGCAGGATTTAAAGGTTATGGAATACAGATAGAACAGGTATTTATCAATAGTAGGCCTTGTGTTGATTCATGAGATTCTGTATAATAAATATTTTTATTTTTTCCAAAACCCTAAACCTACCTTAACATTAATCACAAGTATTGCCATTTGTGATTTTTTTTAAATGATAAATTATATTGTGTTTTTGGTATGCAATTCTAGATGGTAAAGTTTCTGTGCTGAGGGTTATTTTAGGAATGAAACCTCTTAATGCTAGTATCTTCTCATCTGTTATTTATAGCTCTTTCATTTCCTATGTTTTCTTTTTCCTCTGATTATGCTTCGGTCTCTAGTTAGAATTCTAGTACATAAATCAATAATGACAGGATATTCTAATTTTGTACCCGCTGTACCTCTTAGAAGAGTAAAAAGGGGCATTCTGATGGAATATAGAAAATATTAGGGAAAACAAATCCAAAGCCAGGGAATGTACTCAAGAATGCATTGCCGGGGAGGGGTTTATACACAGCAGTAGACCTTTTCTGTCCTTTAGTCCTTAGCTGATAATGCATGGCTGTCTGTGCTACACTAACGCCATCGTATTATTCTCACTAAAAATTGAGTGTTGCTTTGGAAAAATACATATTTTGATATAATTACAAATAATGTTTCCAGGTTCTTTGTATTAAACCATATAGTCTTACAGGTTATATTGTGTACAATTGAGAGATTAAAAAACAAAAAAATCCAAACATCTGGGTGGTGTTGGTGCACACCTTTAATCGAAGTACTCGGGAGGCAGACGCAGGTGGATCTCTGTGAGTTCAAGGCCAGCCTGGTCTACAAAGCTAGTTCCAAGACAGCCAGGGGGGTTGCACAGAAACCCTGTCTTGAAAAGCAAAACACGAGGCAAACTACAAAAGAAAAAGAATTACTTACCTTGACATGGCGGTGCATGCCTATAATTCTAGTTCTTATCAGGCAAAGGCAGCTTGGTGTACATACTGCGTTCTAGGTCAGTTAGGGCATATTTTCCCAGAGATGACAGGCATGTGTGTGATGCATGTACAAGTAAGTCTGTATTTAACACACTGGCAATATGCTGTGCACTCTTGGCCCTCTTTGGCTTTTTATTTTACATTACGTTGGATAGAATTCCCTATTGATAATGTTAAGCAGACTTCCTGGTTTTAAAATCACTATACTATGTTTAGCTATAAAAACCATAAAAAAAAAAAAATCTTACAAAAAGAGCTATAAAAAACTAAGCAGGATTTTAGGGATCAATAAATTACTCCTTTTTGCTTTAGGAATCTGGAAACAATTGAAGAACCATAGCAATATAGACAACAGAAATGCCAGCTTCTTTAATCCATTCTAGATGAGCTGGAGGATGTAATTTAGTTGTGTAGCCATATCTTCCCACTGATTCTTATCAGAGCTGACCTTGGGAGTAGACAGAAGGTATGCCAGAGACTGCTGAGCCTGGCATGGCTTCCGTCCGTGTTCCCAAGTCTCTGACCAGAACCTTTCCTATCTTCTTAGTGGGTTTCATAGGAATTTGTCTTAAACAAACATGCAAAGAGGAGCTCTGATTTTCTCTAGTTTTCTATACTTATGGTACAGAAGTGATGTTCATCCCAATTCTTCATTTTTAAGTTACTGACTATAACTGTAATAAATATCTTAGGCTCATGTATGTCAAGTTCTCACTTTTTCAAATACATGTAAAATTTTAGTATGTTTATAACTTTATACATAATTCATTGACTTGTCTTTTCTACACCATAAGCTTTTCAGTTTGTTTTGAACCTTGAATATTTGAGCTAAAGAATTAGGTTTATAAAATGTTTTTTATAGGAGTAGATGAGTTGCTTGTGTGTGTGCACACTAGAGAATATGTGCGTATGTATGTATATGTATGAGAGTGCATGTGTATGGTTTTGTGTTTAGTTTTTGAGATAGGCTTTGGCTATGTAACCCAGATTGCTCTTGAATTAGCAGTGACTGTCCTGTCTCCATCTGAGACTACCAAGTGCCAGGGTCACAGAGATTCTGATTTTGTTTTTAAATCTTTTTTTGTTTGTTTGTTTGTTTTAGATTTAAAGATATGGAAGGTTGTGAACTTGCATGTGGGTGCTGGGGATCAAACATGTGTCCTGAGTAAGAACAAGGGCTCTTAGCTGCTGAGGTTTCTCCAGCGCTCAATACTGGGTTTTTGGTCTTGGTTTTATTTTTTGAGGCAGGGTCTCTCCAGACAGCCCTGGCTGTCTTGGAACACGCTATGTATACTGGGCTAGCTCTGAGAGCTGTCTGCCATTGCCTTTCGAGTCCTAGGGTTAAAGGTGTGCACCATCATGCCTGGCAAGGCACTCTTGCTTTGAAGTGATGAAATAATGAAGTAAAAGTCTTAGGATGCTTTGGAATTGTTCTAAGTATGTTCTCTCTTAAGTATAGATTCGAATTCTCAAGTCTCCACAAGAGGTAAAACCTGGTGAAAGACACTTCAATATGGCAAAAAGTTACCCAAACGAAGAAAAAGATGCTTGGGATGTGAAGATGTTGCTAGAGGTAGGCCATGCTCTCTCTGCACAGTTTTCAACTTCTAGTGGTGGCTGCATCTGTACTAGTGAAGGAGCGTGGTAGAAACCTTAACATCTTTGAGCATCTAATTCAGCACAATGGATCTTCTCTGGAAAGTAATGTGAATAGTCAGTGTGTAGGCTTTGACTGTTTTGTGCCTTAGTTCTCTCTGAAACTTGCCCCCAAGTCTTTTAGGGTAGTACTTAACAAAGAAGCTGTGAATATGTATTGGCGGCACAAGCATAACTTGAGATCTATAGAAATGTAAACATTTTATCTTCATTCTGGTAATAAGTTTGAAAAGTGTTAGCACCCTGTGTGCATTCTTACCTTAGTATACTGCTGCATAACTCCAGTATCTGACTGTGCATATATCACTGCTTTAATGTAAACTGGCTTTCTATACTGGATGTATGGTAATTTCTGTTGCTGCTGTAACGAATGCTACAAATTTAGCAGCTTGGAACATTTGGATGGGTTGATTTTTAATCTCATGGTTTCAGTGTATTGGATCAGATAGTGGGCTAATACTGATTTTTTTTTTTTTTTTTTTTGCTTATGTACCCCACAAGACCAAAATGAAGTTTCAATCTTGAATGGAATTAAAGGGTTGTTTTTTTTTTTTAAATCATGGCCCCCGCTTGAGACCCATTATGTGCTGTGTCTGTATACTACTGCTTTGTGTAAATTGATCTGCTAGCCACCTTGAGGGAGATTGAGACAGTATCTTTTTGTTTTCTTTTTCTGAGACAGGGTTTTTCTGTGTAACAGCCCTGGCTGACGTAGAACTCACTCTGTAGACCAGGCTGGCCTTGAACTCAGAGATCCACTGCCTCTGCCTCCCAAGTGTTAGGATCAAAAGTGCTCATATTGCTGCTTTTGGGATAAGTCTCAGCAAATGTGACTCAGCTGAGTGCCTGGGAGGCCTAAGCCACTGGCATTGCTTTTCTCCTGGTTCTGGAAACCAGCAATACAAGCTAGAGGTATCGGTAGGCTTGTTTTCTGCTTAGGCCTCTCTTCATGATGGAGCATGCTGCTGTCTCCCTCTGTGTATGTCTGTGTCCTTATCTCCTCATGAAAACATATGTGAGTGATGCTGGAAATGCAGTTCTTGTATTGCATATGCTAGCATTCTTGTGGCCCTGGATTAGTTCCCAGCATTGCAAAGCAACAACTGAACAGACCCTCCCCAAAGGCACTGTTGTAAGGAGACCAGTCATCTCTAATTAGGGCCTGTGAATATGTCCTCACTGGACCTCACTTCCTTCTGTAAAGGCACCGTGTCCAAGTACAGCTGTGTTCTGAGTTAGTCAGGACTAGAACATCAATGTGTGAGCTGTGGTGACCACAGTTAGGCCCATTCATCAGGTATAGATGTCTTGTCCTGGGTTAGTCATAGCAGTAAGCCCGAGCAGTCAGACTTCCTGATTGCTGAGACAGCTGACCCACCACACTGCTTCCTGTGGGCCCAAACATGTACCTTCCTTTTTTTTTCCCTCAGCCCCCAGAGAAGTCCTGTTGCCAAGGGACTGTCAAGGACAGACATCAGTCCTTCATTCTGTACATGAGATTCTCTGATCTTACATTTTAAGTGTGTGTGTGTGTGTGTGTGTGTGTGTGTGTGTGTGTGAGAGAGAGAGAAAGAGAGAGAGAGAGAGAGAGAGAGAGAGAGAGAGAGAGAATATATATTCTAAGACAGGCTCTAACAGGTTGACCTTGAACTAATAGAGTGCCACTGCTACCTGCCTCTCAAGGCTGGCATTAAACATTTCCAAAAGTTATGATTTTTTTTTTTCTTAAACTTCAAGTTTTTGGATTATTAGGGTAGAAAAATAGGAGACTGAAATAAGGCCTTGGGGTGTGGGGCAGGGTAGAGGTTGGGGAATGAATCTGCAGTGTCCTTTAAAATGGCTTTTAATCTTTGATTTGGTAACATTTAACTACGTATGTCTGCTTTTCTGTAAACTTACACTTGTAAATTTTTTATAATTATAATTTATAAAATTCAAACAAAAATCTTTCCCAACCCAAATAATTAAAAATAAAATAATCCCTGCACAGGGTGTTAAACTCTTGAAATGCTTTGACCTGCTATAGTGTGGGCATGCGGGCTCTCCGGAATTGGGGCTGCTCTGGTCCTGACAGGTCTCTGTGGAGGAACAGTGAATTCAGAGTGCATGAAAAGCTGCCTGAGTGCTTGCTGCCTACCGCCCCTCTACCACGGTGTGCTCTTTGTCTGCTGGGTGGGTGTGGCCCCAGGAAAGCAAGCCTGTCCTGTCCGGGGTGAGGACTTGCAGGTGCTTGTGCAGAGCCACAGCTGCTCTGTAATGTGCACCCTGAATCTGGCAAACTAATTAAGGATACTGTATTCTCTCTTTAAAGCAATTTAGCTTTGATATAGCTGAAGAAGCATCTAAAGTCTGCCTGGCTCATCTTTTCACATACCAGGATTTTGATATGGGAACTCTTGGCTTAGCTTACGTGGGTTCTCCCAGAGCAAACAGCCATGGAGGGGTTTGCCCAAAGGGTAAGTCTCATTTGTGCTGTCATGACCCTGAGAGAGATGAAAGAGAAGGCTGATTGGGTTATGTTTCAGTTCTGTGTTTAAGAGACAAATTTGTCTGTTTCCTTTTCCCTTTAGCTTACTACAGCCCAGGTGGGAAGAAAAACATCTATTTGAATAGTGGTCTGACTAGTACAAAAAATTATGGTAAAACCATCCTTACAAAGGTATGTTCCTTGATTTTTTTTTAAAAGAATTTTATTAAAAAATGTTTTTATATGTGTGTGTGTGTGTGTGTGTATGCACACTCTCGCTCATACACAGGTATGTACAGCATGGGTCCCTCCTACAGATGCTAGAAGAGGGTGTTAGAACCACTGGAGTTGTAATAGGTGTTTGAGAGGTATCAGAAAGCAGTGCTGGGAATTGAGCAGCAAGTGCTGTTAAACAACGAGTCAGCTCACTAGCCTCTTTTTTGTTTTTAAACAGGATAGATTTGGAGTCCATTGTATTAGAACCTCATTTACATATTTATCCTGGTATCTTTAAAAAAAAAAAAAGTAATTGTACTTGGTTGATATTGTGGCTGGGTGTGTTCTGACCTGCAGTTTTTTCTTTTCTTTTCTTTTTTTTAATTGTTTTTAAAGATTTTTTTTTATTATTATGTATGCAGTTCTGCCTGCATGTCGGAAGAGGGCACCAGATCTCATTATAGATGGTTGTTAATCACCATGTGGTTGCTGGGAATTGAACTTGGGACCTCTGGAAGAGCAGTCAGTGCTCTTAACCTCTGAGCCATCTCTCCAGCCCCCTGTCCTTCGTTTGAAGGCATTGTTCCATTGTCTACTGGCATTCGTATGCTGTTAAAAGGAGTGTGTGTCCTTAGCCTCTGTTTGTGACCTTTTCTTCCCTAAGAGATTTTTGTATCTTGTGTTGGGGTCTAGAGATGTAGCTCAGTTAGTAGAGGGCTTGCCCAGCACACACCATATAAAACCAGGGATAGCGATGCATACCTGTAATTGGAGGGTAGAGGCAGTCCTCAACTCCATACTAAGTTCAGGGCCAGCTTGGGGTACTTGAGACCTGTCTCAAAATACAATACGAAACAAAATCCCCTTGTTTCTGTGTAGATACATCTGTTTAAATATGTTTTGCTACAAATAATGGAAAGTACAGTAAACAGAAGTGGTCTAAACGGGCTTATTTTTCTAAGTTACTTATCTGAGGTAGCCTGCCCAGGTTACACTTGTACATTCAGAGAGGCTTTCAGTTGGGGTCTCCCTGGCTTTCCTTTAGCTTGCCTTTCTGAGCACCAGCCCCCTGTCTTCACGCTGCAGCTTCTTAGGCACAAAGTGGTTCTTGTCTCTGTTGTAGAAGGAGAGAAACCAGAGCTACTGTAGGTTGTCCTTACACCATAGGTTTTCTACAAGCCTCATCTAACAGTTTCTGGTTATGCTTCTCTGGACATATGGATGCCCTTAGCACCAGGGCAGGAAGGTAGCTATTTTAACTGAATATGTTGCTGCTCAAAGCAGAATTAGAATAAAGATAAGAGAGAGCAGGGCATGGTGGTGGACATCTTTATTCTGAGCACTTGGGAGACAGAGGCAAGTAGATCTTGAGTTTGAGTCAACCTGGTCTACATTGTGAATTCCAGGATAGCCAGGACTATGTTGAGAGATTCTGTCTCAAAGAGATACATATATATGGGGAGAGTAGGTATTTTGACTTTGAGCTTAAAATGGACTATGTGGGCTGGAAAGCTGGCTCAACAGTTAAGAGTGCTTCATGCTCTTCCAGAGGATCTAAGTTTGATTGCACCAGGGATCCACACCCTCTTCTGGCCCCCCAGAGCACTGTACTCCTTTGCACATACCCACACAGACTGCATACACAAAGCTAAGATAAATCTTTTTTTTTTTTTTTAATTGGTATATGGTTCTCCTTTGTGGGGGCAGATAGGCCCTTCAATCTAGATGCTTTTGTCTTTGTGCAAAATGTTCCTTTTTTTGCTTGGTGTATTTGTTTTTGGTGAGACAGAGTCTCACTTGAATTTTTGCATCAGTCTCCCGGGTGCTGGGATTGCAGGCTTTTATCAACAAGCCTGGTTTGAAAGTATTCGTGTGTTATTTTAGTAACTTTTGTCCTCCACTGTGTATGTTACCCAAGTGGCCTTAACCTTCTGGGCCAGTGTAGCTCCCCTGTGCCTCAGTCTCCTGATTAGCTGGGACTGTAGGTGGGCCCAGGTATCATGTCTGTTCTGTTTGGGAATTAATTAAACCAGATATTTGATCTCTTAGAGTAAATTATCTGTTTCTTCTTATTGCTTTCTCCTATTTTCCATTTGTTTATGTGTTTCCTACATGATGCTTTTAACTTTCTCCTTCAGCGTCTTTGAAATTTTCATTGGTGTTGCCTTTTTTTTTTTTTTTTTTTTTTTTTTTTTTTTCTTTTTTTTTTTTTTTAGCCCTTTTCTGTATGGTTCTTTGTTGTATGTTGTATGTGATATTTTGCTTTTTACAAAACTGCATGTAATTTTTCATCAACTTTAAAAATTTTGTTGGCGTCTGCCAGCTGTTGCCCTCTACCCTTGTTCTTTGTCCTTGGAAGGTCATGTCCTCCTTATTCCTGAAGGACTAGAAGTCAGTGTAGTGTTCTTTTTTATACTGAACCATCCTGCTCACTGTTTTCAACTTCCAAGAAATGTGACCAGCATCAGGACAGTTGAGATGGCAAAGGCATTTGTGGCCATGCTTGACAACTTGAGTTGGATCCCTAACCCCACATGGTGGCAAGAGAGGGCTGGCTCCTGCAGGGCTGAGTTTAGATAGAGAGGAGATTTCCACTAGTGTCGAAAGATGGGAAAATAAATCCTAGGCATGTCTGGGGAAACCTTCAGCTTCCAGCCTTCCCCCCCCCCCCAATCTATGCATGTGGCAGTCAGAGGTCAGCTTTGGGTGTGGTTTCTCAGGCTTCATCCACCTTATTTTTGTTTTCTACTAATGAATTTATTATATTTGTGTATGTGCGCCAGCATGAGTTTATGTGCATGCAGGAGCCTGGGTATTTGATCCCCTGGAACTGATACAGGTGGTTGGAACTGAACTGTGTAAGTGCAATAAGCACTCTTAACCACTGAGCCATCCTTCCCCCCATTACATTTATTGGGGCCAGGGAGATGGCTTAGCAGGTAAAGATACTATGCAAAATAGCCCCGATCTCACACATGTACTTTGCTTACACACTTTGCTTGCTCTCTCCCTCCCTCTCCACACACACAAATGTGAAAACTGTGTGTAATGAATGTATGTGGGTGTGGACCACTTATGGGAGTCATTCTACTTCACTTGATCTGATAATGTAGCATGTGCCCAACTGGCAAAAGCAGCTGATGGTCACGTATTTTCTTTGTCTGGTTCTTAAGGAAGCTGACCTGGTTACAACTCATGAATTGGGACACAATTTTGGAGCAGAACATGATCCTGATGGGCTAGCAGAATGTGCCCCAAATGAGGACCAGGGAGGAAAGTACGTTATGTATCCCATAGCTGTGAGTGGTGATCACGAGAACAATAAGGTATGTGTGTCTTGATCGTTTTTTTAGTGGTAGGGAAGAAGTTCGTGTCGTGTTAACAGGAAGGGGGCTTGGTAAAGTATCTATTCCTTGATGTTCTTCCTAGAGATGGAACTTGGTGTCATTTGGATGGTTTTGTTCAGGTTAGTCACACATAAATGTGGGTTCATTGTGGCAGATACAGTAGTGACTTTTGTCAGGGTCCTACTTTTGACTGTGTTTGGTTCAGCCTTAAAAATGACTTGACAATTTCATTTACAACTTGTTACTCGTTTTAATTTAGCTGTACTTCCCAGTTTGCTGTTACCACTCTCCCTCCCTATTCTCCTTCCTCTTTTCCTTCCTCTTGTTGTACTAGGGATTAAATGTGCCTTAATGCAGCTCTTAAAAACAAGTGATAAGGGGCTGGAGAGATGGCTCAGTGGTTAAGAGCATTGGCTGCTTTTCCAGAGGACCAGGGTTCAATTCCCAGCACCCACATGGCAGCTCACAACTGTCTGTAATTCCAGTTCCAGGTGATTTGACATCTTTATACAAACATATATGAATGCACATGAAATCAAAATAAATAAGTTAAAAACAAACAAAAAAACAAGTGATACATACAGAAAACCTGTGAAGTCACATGGAAGCTGGTGAGGGGACATGAGCACTCATAAAACTGTTTTGTCCATTAGCATGTTTTGATACCTCAGCAATATGACATATAAAACATCCAACGAGGAGAGACTCCTAAAACCGTCACAAAGCTAGTAGCTTCTGCATTGGACTCCTGTGGTTATGAGGGTGCTGCCAGGGCTTGGGGGCCATTGGACTTTGCTACAAGTCACTCTGTACACTCTGCTACAAGGGGAAGCACATGATGCTACTTCTTCCTCTGAGGAATTCCCCATGGGCCTTAAGTGGCCTGTGAGAACTTGCTAGTGGGAGTGGAGTATGGGTAGAGCTGTTAGCGGAACACAGTTGGTTTTTGCCCTGCACCCATCACATTTAGTATACATATGCTCCTTGACAGTTTAGTTTTCCCAATAAGTGCCTCCCCTTATTAAAAAAAAAAATACTATGCATTCATCTTCTATGTTTTAGTTTTTTTTTCAAATAATTTTTACATTTATTTATTAATGGGGGACATGTGTGTGCCATGTCCCATGTGGAGCTCAGAGGACAGTTTTTATGGGTTGGTTCTTTCCTTTTATCTGGGGATTGAACTCAGGTCATCAAGTTTGGCAGCAGGCTTCTTTTACCTACAGAGGCAGAGCCATTTCTTTGACCCGACATGAATTTATTTATTCACTCACTCGTTCATTTATTCATTGTTTTGAGGGTCTCTCTATATAGTTGTGGCACTTGCTGTGTAGACCAGGCTTGAACTCACAGAGATCCCTGCCTCTATGTCCTGAGTGCTGTGATTAAAGGTGTACACCTCCATGCCGGGTTCATAGGTTTCTTTTTTTTCTTTTTACTTTTCCTGTTTTTAAAGATTTTATTTATTTATTTATTTATTTATTATGTATACAACATTCTGCTTCCATGTATATCTGCACACCAGAAGAGGGCACCAGATCTCATAACGGATGGTTGTGAGCCACCATGCCGTTGCTGGAAATTGAATTCAGGATCTCTGGAAGAGCAGTTAGTGCTCTTAACCTCTGAGCCATCTCCCCAGCCCCCTCATGGGTTTCTTGATAAACATTTTTTAATGAGGTGGGAAGGACTATAGGACAGAAATGAGGTGGTTCTTTCGTTTCCCCTGGTTATACAGCCCTGTTTGCTAGCAGATGGGCCAGTGAGTAGCTGCCCTGAGGCACTACATGAGCTGTGCACACTGACATGACTGGAAAGAAGGGATGCTGAGGGCTGTGACCTCCTCGGGAAGGTCCCTGAAAGGAAGCAAGGTTGTAGATAAAGATGCAGATAGACAGAAGACTGGCATTTAGAGATGGTGGTCAGAAAGCCAGTGACAGACTGGTCACTGTGTGCTCAGCACTATCTAGGCCCTGGAGACCCATTGCTTGAGAGTGTAACTTCGAATGAAGAGGTCTTTGCTGGCTGTAGTGGGTTAGGCCCTTATCTGAGGTCACTGACCATTTTGACCTGTGGGGCATGGTGAGGCACTCTTTTTAACCACAGCACTCGAGAGAGGCAGAGGCAGGTGGATCTGAGTTCCAGGCTAGCCTGAGCCACACAATCGAGACCCTTGTCTTAAAACAGAAAAATAAAACAAAAGCCCTAGCTATTATTTTGTATAATAATATAAATATTATTATATTGTATAATAATATATATGTATATTATTATATTGTATAATAATATATATGTATATTATTATATTGTATATGTATAATATTATAATATTATATTGTATAATATATATATATATATATATATATATATATATATATATATATAGTCCTCAAACTTCATAGTGCCGAGACCCTCTAATACACTCCCTCATGATGTGGTGACCCCAACCATCAAAGCATTTTCATTGCTATGTCATAACTCTAATTTTGCTACTGTTACGAATCGTAATATAAATATCTGATATGCAGGATATCTGATATGCAACCCCAAATGGGTCTCAATTCACAGGTTAAGAACCACTGCTCTAAAACCACACGATGGGGTGGAGAAGCAAGCAAGATTATACAAAGGCGTACGTGATAATCAGCAGTGGCCCATTTGTTTCAGCTATTTCTCCAGGTCACATGCTTAGCAAATAGGCAGTGCAAGCAGTGCTTTCAGTAAATCACTAAATAAATCAACATCCAATCATTGGGCTTTTCTGCATTATTCTACTTCAGTAGTTTCTTACTGTGGCATTTGCAGGTGACCACTTGACATAATAACTCAGTGGTGGCATTGATGGTGGCTTCACAGTATTTGTAGAGAAGCACAAAACCTACTTGGGAGTGAATTTCATCTTGTTCTTTTCTACTCTCATGCCCCTTTTTTCTCTTAAGATGTTTTCAAACTGTAGTAAACAGTCCATCTACAAGACCATAGAAAGTAAGGCTCAAGAGTGCTTCCAGGAGCGAAGCAACAAGGTCTGCGGCAACTCCAGGGTGGATGAAGGAGAAGAGTGTGACCCAGGCATCATGTACCTGAACAACGACACCTGCTGCAATAGCGACTGCACTCTGAAGCCAGGTGTGCAGTGCAGGTGAGAATGTTCCCAGAGTATGGGGAAGGGCTGTCCAGATAACAGGATCACAGCGTGTGTGTGCAGTGCTGGTTGGTGATGAGGTCCAGATAACAGGGGATTGCAGTGCAGGCACTTGAAGTAAAAGTGTGAATGTAAGAGCATGTGTGTGTGTGAGCACAATACTTTATTTATTTATTTTTTGGTTTTTCGAGACAGGGTTTCTCTGTGGCTTTGGAGGCTATCCTGGAACTCTTGTTCCTGGAGCTCCTGTAGACCAGGCTGGTCTCGAACTCACAGAGAACCGCCTGCTTCTCCCTCCAGAGTGTTGGGATTAAAAGCGTGCGGCACCAATGCCCTGCTACTTTATGGAAAATATTTAGACCTGTTTAAAAACAACAGCACGGAACAACACTGACCTTGCATACATGTCCACTATATAGCATTCCCTTTTGTGTTTTATTAATTTTTTTGAGACAGGCTTTCGTTATGTAGCTCTGGCTGACCCTGAAGTCTATATAGACTGACCAGACTCACATGTAATATACAGAGATCTACCTCCTAGTACTTAAAATTTATTTTTAAGATTAGGCTTGATAGTGACTGTCTTTACTAGTTATCTCGTTGGAGCTTAAGAATATTTTTAAAGCCAGGCATGGTGGGGCATGCCTTTAATCTCAGTACTTGAAAGGCAGAGGGAGGCAGATGTCTATGTGTTCAAATCCAGCCTGGACTACATAGTGAGCCCCAGGTCAACCAAGGCTACACGGTGAGACCCTACCTTGAAGAAAAAAATCTTAAAACAACAAAAAAAAGTTGATTCGACAAAAACTACTCATGGCTATGTCTTTTTCAGTAGCAAAATATTGGAACAATCCAAGATGGTAATATTAAAATACAAATTGTTACTGTGTATCTGTATAACAGAATAATGTGGAATACTATTTAATGATACTAAGCAGATTCTAAATTGGAAGGTACTTAACATTATCATTTTTTAAGTACCTGCTGGATCAGTGTTTGGTGAATTATTCATCTGTACACTGTACCTTTTAACTTGTAGAATCTTGTAAGGAGTGGGATGGGACTCAGGCCACATTGTTTCATAGCCCACAGGTGCATCCCTGGGTTTTTCTCTTAACTAGTTAATGAAATTAAAAGATTGCTAAAAAAGTGTTTGCTGAAGTGTGGCACTGATAATTGCCTTTCTCACGTTAGGAAGGGATACACTCAGTGAGGATAGCTTCAGAGGAGTCAGGCTGGGTAATAGTGACTTGGCCCTGGGCTCTTGGTCCTGACCTCAGTGTTGAGGTCACTAACAGAGCCATAGCATTTGATGTTGGGCTGTCATTGGCATTGAATAGTATTTGTCTGCTCTTCTGTAGTGATAGGAACAGTCCTTGCTGTAAAAATTGTCAGTTTGAGACGGCTCAGAAGAAGTGCCAGGAGGCTATTAATGCTACTTGCAAAGGCGAGTCTTACTGCACAGGTATGTGTTTCCTTTGCTTCTCCAGGTGTCCTGTGGTGTGTGAACATGTATTTGAAAATTGGGGTCAAGTTTTCTTTGGGTGAACGCAGCCCTGAGCTCTTACTATTAGCTAGTGTGTGGCAACTGTTATGCCCTGGGAACTGTTGGCCTGGACTGAGTTTTAAGTTGGTATTTGCCTCCAGGGAATAGCAGTGAGTGCCCCCCACCGGGAGATGCTGAAGATGACACTGTGTGCTTGGACCTCGGCAAGTGCAAAGCTGGGAAATGCATCCCGTTCTGCAAGAGAGAGCAGGAGCTGGAGTCTTGTGCGTGTGCTGGTGAGTGGTTTCCTGAGTCCTGTTCCTGGAGGACATCTGTTTTTTGTCTGTGCTCCTTGCTGCTCATCAAAGTGGGAAGAACCAAACAAGGGGAAGAGGAAAGCAGCAAGGCATGCTAGTGTCTGCAGACAGATCCCTGTGTCCAGATCCTAGCTCCCCATTCCACAGCAGACTGTGGCAGGCAGGCTTCAGGGTAGACCGGAAAGTCACGGGGGTGGGTGGGGGGCTATCCTCACCTACCTCACATGCCATATAAAACACAAAGGTAGAAATAGTCTGTTCCCAGGCTGGAGAGATGGCTCAGAGGTTAAGAGCACTGGCTGTTGTTTTAGAGGTCCTGAGTTCAATTCCCAGCAACCACATGGTGTCTCACTATCATCTATAATGAGATCTGGTGCCCTCTTCTGGACTGCAGACATATGTGCAGGCAGAATATTGTATACTTAAATAAATAAATCTCTTAAAAAAAAAAAGTCTGTTTCCATGGCACTAATGGAGGAAACACCGTGAACTTGATCAAAGCCATTTCCAGGATCTAAGTCCTGTAGGTGGATTTTCAGAATTGTAAGTGTGCATTCTTCTTCCCTGTGCATGTTTAGTCAAAGGATCACTTGAGGGTTCAGTTCTTACCTTGTACTATGTATGTCTCAGGAGTCAAACTCAGACTTTTAAGTTGGCAATCAGTGCCTTTACCTGTTTTGCCCTCTGGGGGGAACTTTTGATGATGCCATCAAGGTCTGCCACCCTATCATCCTGTTGGGGCAGCCTGGGAAAGCAATATTTTTAATGTTAGCCTCACAGTTTTCCTTGGGTTCCCATGCTCTTATTTTTGGAACCACTAGGTCTGAAGGGAGGCCTAAGGACATCCAGGGCCTGGCTGGACTCCAAATTCCCACTCTACTGTAGAGCTGGTGAATTGATGGCAGTTCTCTGTTCCATATGGTGACATCAGTGTTAAATCATGAGGCTGGGAAGGCATCCATACACTGGAGTGAATGGTTCCTCCTGGTGGGTCGATGTAACAACAGTAGGCTCAGCAGCAGAGCACCTGCCTAGCATGCATGCACGAGGCCCTTGGGTTGAGCCAGCACGGCTGCCAGGAAATGATTGTGTAAATGACAGCAGGTTTGCAAAGCATTGGAAAGGCAAAGTCACAGTGAACCCCTGCTTGCTTTGTGTTCTCCTTGGCTTTTTCCTGAAGATAAACCTAAATCATCCCCTCCACCCCCCAGCAAATTCAGGCTGTGGCGGGTTACTTTTTCATTCTGAGTGTCTGCATAGCTCACTGGGTACTGACTGTTGACTTTTACCCCAGGTGGTATCTGTCACAGCTGCTCTTGGGTCCAGGCAGTTACTCAGCTCTATACCACAGGTGGACAGTTCTGTCACAGCTGCATTGGCCCAGGGTAGGATAGGCTTTACACTGAGAAGTCAGAGACGGAAACTGATGGTGCCAGGAATGCTGGGTTAGAGGGACACTTCTGCAAGAACATTATGCAGGTTTGGACAGAGAATACAGTTTGGTTTTTAATCATCAGACCTTTTTTTTTTTTTTTTTTTTTTTTTTGAGTTCACTATATAGACCAGGCTGGCCTTATAGTCAGATAGTCAGAGATCTGACTGCTTCTGATCCCCAAGTGCTGGGATTAAAGGCCTACGCCACCATACCCAGCTAATAATTGTTTTAACTTAAAGAGCAAAGAAGCTGTATGGTGGCGGCATTCGCCTTTAATCCCAGCACTAGGGAGGCAGAGGCAGGTGGATCTCTGTGAGTTCGAGACCAGCCTGGTCTACAAGAGCTAGTTCCAGGATAACCTCCAAAGCCACAGAGAAACCCTGTCTCGAAAAACCAAAAACTAAAGAGCAGAGAAGTTATGAATTCAGAAACTGTTAAATGAATATGAAGTTTTGGCCCTATTTTTATTTTTTTCATGATGCTGGACTTGGAACCCAAGCCATCACATCCACCATGCAGGCAGGCACTCTGACTGAAACCCTCAGCCCTGGGTAGTATCAGCTTTCGCCGTCTGGGAATGAGGTCAGAGACTAGGAGCCACGGAAGCTTGTGGTAGATGCCTGTGTCAGCCTGGATTTTTTTCTTTCAGACACCGACAACTCATGCAAGGTGTGCTGCAGGAACCTTTCCGGCCCGTGTGTGCCCTATGTCGATGCAGAGCAAAAGAACTTATTTTTGAGGAAAGGGAAGCCCTGTACAGTAGGGTTTTGTGACATGAACGTAAGTATTGTGTCCCACCTTTTTTGTAACTTGGGGAGACTCTCTTGAGTTATGCCTCTGTAGAGAGGCACAGGGTCTGACTCAGGCATCGGTAAGCAGACCCCGTCTTTCCTGTTCCACCTCCTTCAGAGTTGCAGCTTGAGCAGTTTTGTGGTCTGTGTCCATTGTCCAAGCCAGGAAATCAGGGCTCTGTCTGAAACCAGCTGTCTCAACCACACAGCCCCACCCTAGCCTGCTCTCACATTGTGTTCCAGGCTAGCTAGGGTTACTGCTGAGATCTGGTCTCAAGCAACACCAACGATAACTAAGCTTCCTCTCCAAGTTGCTGAGCTCAGTTTTGAACTTCAGTGACCCTAGAGCACCTGCCCATCCCCACCTATATCATCCCTATCTGTGCATATTCAATGAAAGCAAGCACTGGTCACAGAAATCAAAAGGTAGTGTTTGTGTATGGATTGCCTCTGGTGGCAAAATCAAGTATGATACAAAGCCTTCCTTGTCCATGGTGTATATAATTACTGTCATTCTGACTGGCTCCTCCGAGGATGACAGTTCTCTTGAGCCTTATCCTGGTTATTCTAAAAGTAGACTTTTAGGCTGGGTGTGGCAACACTCCTGTTTTCTTAGCCATCAGGAAAATAGACAAACCCAGTTTTGAGATACACAGGATGCCCCTGTAAACACCCCCACCTCCACTCCCACCCCCACCAGTGCACCAAATATTTTTTAAGGGACTGTGAGAGTGCTAATGACAGGACCTCCTTTCTCAGGTATCTTCATACTGGAATTACCATCCTGTGTTCAAGGTGGACCCCAGTGAAGTTGTTTACATGCCCATTGTTCTCCTGAGGCTTCATTAGTTCTAAATGTGTTGTTTTCTCCCTATAGGGCAAATGTGAAAAACGAGTTCAGGATGTAATTGAGCGATTTTGGGATTTCATTGACCAATTGAGCATCAACACTTTTGGTAAGTGAAATATTTCCTGATTATTCACCAAGATCTCATCTCATTTCCATGGTGACTTGGGTGTGGTTTCAGATTTTGTGCTGTGATCCTGCAACAGAAGATCAAACTGTTCACCACATTTGTTATGAAATAACTGTTGGGAACTGGAGAGATGGCTCAGGGTTAACAACACTGGTCATTCAGAGGACCTGGCTTCAGTTCCCAGCACCCATGATTACTTGTAACTCTAGTGCTGGAGAATCCGACATCCTTTTCTGGCCTCTCAGGGCACCGCATTCACATGGTGCACAGACATACATGCTGGCAGAACATACAAAGGTTTGAAAGCCGGGTGGTGGTAGTGCACGTCTTTAATCCCAGCACTCAGGAGGGAGAGGCAGGTGGATATCGGAGTTTGAGGTCAGCCTGGTCTACAAAGTGAGTTCTAGGACAGCCAAGACTGTTACACAGAGAAACCTTGTCCTGAAAACCACACACACACACACACACACACACACACACACACACACACACACACACACACACACACACACACACTTAAACACTTTGTTGGCTAAGATAAAACAAACTCATTACAGGGCCATTCTTGTGTATCTGAGTTTTCAGAGGAGAGTGGTCCAGCTGAACTTGGTTCAGTCTCTTGACCCTGTTGACATAGGAGCTGTTTACCAGTGGGTCTCAGGTTTTGCAGACTGCAAAGACCGCTAGAATTTTGCTGTGAAAACACTTAACCTTCAGGTCATAAAAGTATTGTTGTCTTAAGCATGCTACGCTTGGTCTGTCGGCACCAGGAACACAGGGAATAGGGTAACACTCTACTTTCTTCACCACTGAGCACAGCCCGGCATGATACTTAAGAGTGGTTCAGAGTAGACTTATGATGTATGGCTGAGACATTCACTGTTTGGAATTATTCACAGGGAAGTTTTTGGCAGACAACATCGTAGGGTCCGTCCTGGTTTTCTCCTTGATATTCTGGATTCCATTCAGCATTCTTGTCCACTGTGTGGTAAGTCACCAAAGTTTAAGTGATCAAACATTTTACAAAAATGTTGAACAGCTGCAAATTGAAAGATAGATGTAAAGTGTTGCAGTGCTATCGTAAGTGTTCTAAGACAGCTTACCTCGAAGCCTGCCTGATGATCTTTGAACTGGGAGTTGGGTACTTAGCTCAGTTAGGAGAGGGCTTCCCTAGCTTGCCCAGGCCTATGTTCCTCCCCAGCACTGAATAAACTAGGTACGGTAGTGCATACACTCAGGAAATAGAGGCAGGAGGACCAGGAGCTCAAAGTTGTCCTCAGGGTCCATAGTGACCCCATTAGCTTGAGACACAACAGTAGGTAGACACCTGCTGCCACACCCACGTTCTTTCCCCAGGACCTATGTGGTGGAAGGAGAGAACTGAATCCCCAGAGTGGCCCTCCCACCTCCACAGGTGTATAGTTTGCTTTTGCTTTTTTTTTTTTTTTTTTTTTTTAAATTTATAAACACGGGAGAGCATTTAGCTGGACTTGCCTGGGGCCTGTGACTTGTAAAGTCAACGTGAGTGCTTTTTAGATGACTTGGTTATAGGGGAACAAATGTCAACACTTCAGGTATTCCCCATGTACTGTGGTTACATCTTTATAAATAAGTTAACAGTTACATGTTAAATTAGACTATGTCTTTAAAATTATTAGTTCTTTATAAATCTCGAGTTTTAAAATTTGACCTTACATGAGTAGGGAATGGGTGCCTTCCAGATGGAGGGTGAGGCTTGTCTGAAGCTCTCACTGTGCCTCCTGGCTTCTCCCACAGTGCGGACACAGCACTAAGGGCTCTGGGGCACTAGTACTGAGGCAGAGGTGAACTGCCATCATAGTGATGGAAGTGAGGCTTTGGTAGAAGATGCATCTTAGGACAGCAGCACCGTCCCTCCCAAGTGTTTCTGCTGTGAAATTGAGCAGATTGTATGTACATTGAAAGGTATATATGTGGACCATGAAGCTGACCTTGATTTCAGAGCAAAGCCACTGAGTGGTGGTTTGTTTTTAGCCAAGCCACAGCATGCATTCATGGCACCAGGCATTAAGTTGTGGCCCAATTCTTAGTGGGGCCTTTCCCTTGTCAGTTGGCATCCAGCCTCCTGCAGAAATACAATGTGGGGATCAAGACTCAGTTCTGTGAAAGGCTATGGGGTTGGGTAGTGAAGTCAGGACTGAGAGGCTGCAAACAGTCACCTTAACCTTTGCCAACCATCCCAGTGCACAAGCATTGTGAATGGGGGCTTTTTGTTGCACACAAACCTGCTTGCCGTCCTCCTGCTTACAGTGTAAGACATCTTTGACAAATAGGACTTAAAGCACCTCCTCTGTGTATCCAGGCCACTATTGGTATAGGGCAGCACTTCCTGCCTGGGAGCATGTGGGTGTGGCCTGCTTGAGTGTGTTCTCAGCTAGTGAAGCTGTCCCTTGGGTTTCTTTTTGGTGGTGCATGGAGGGGTGGCAGAGAGACCCAAGGGTCAAGTGTGCTAGGCAACTGCTCCCACTCTGCAGTAGAGGGTCTCAGTTCACTCCAGGAAGCACAGCTGCTTAAGGTTTGGGTTCCCTTTAGTTTTAGTGACATTTTTACTTGCTGTTCTTTCTAGGATAAGAAACTGGACAAGCAGTATGAATCCCTGTCTCTGTTTCATCACAGTGTAAGTATACACAGAAGACAAAAGAGCAGGCCTCAAGAGCCGGGTGTTGGTGGCTCACGCCTTTAATCCCAGCACTCGGGAGGCAGAGGCAGATGGATCTCTGAGTTCGAGGCCAGCCTGGTCTACAGAGTGAGTTCCAGGACAACCTCCAAAACTACAGAGAAATCCTGTCTTGACAAATCAAGGGGGAAAAAAAAAAAAAGAGCAGGCCTCAGCAGAGCTCTTCCCTCCTGGGCTAGGGGAAGTCACAACGATCTGGTTGGTCGGTTGTGACTAGTCCTGAGGAAGTGGCCTGACTTAGTTGCTTGCTCGGGTGGGAAGCTAGAGAGGAACCCTGGTTTCCCCACAGCACAGGTGCTGACTCAGCCTCTCAGCACTGAGTTCTGGTGTCTCGGATCTTGGTAGACACGGGTGTCAGCAGTGGAGCTCCCACTCGCTGGCAGAGCTTCGCCTAGCATGAGCACGGCCCAGGCCTACTGTGGGGTAAGGTTACAGAGTATTGACCTGATTCATTTTCCCTGCACCTATCCAGAACATTGAGATGCTGAGCAGCATGGATTCGGCTTCTGTTCGAATTATCAAGCCTTTTCCTGCACCCCAGACTCCAGGTCGTCTGCAGCCCCTGCAGCCAGTCTCCATGATGCCGCCAGTGTCTGCGGCTCCAAAACTGGACCACCAGAGGATGGACACCATCCAGGAAGACCCTAGCACAGACTCGCATGTGGACGACGATGGCTTTGAGAAGGACCCCTTTCCCAACAGCAGTGCAGCTGCTAAGTCTTTTGAGGATCTCACAGACCACCCCGTCACCAGGAGTGAAAAGGCGGCCTCCTTCAAGCTGCAGCGTCAGAGCCGAGTCGACAGCAAGGAGACAGAGTGCTAGTGCTGGCCTCATCCTGCTCTAGGATGTGCACATGAAGATGCTCGAGAGCTGAGCGAAACCAAACATTGTGACAACCCAAGGAACACAGAAGCAACGTACAGGATGCTGGTCATGAACGTGACCTTCCTAGGACAACCTGTGTAGGTGTAGGCCCCTTGAAGGGGTGAGGTAAATCTGGCTTATTTCACGTTTTTGGGTTTTCTCTTTTATAATCTAAAATCTCCTTTGACCTGTGGCGCAAAAGCAGAAAACAAGGCTGGATCGAGTGCCTGGGGACAGTCTGTCTGTACACTGTAGTGGTCCCCTGACCACAGGGAAGCACGTGGCAGTTATTACTGAGGATAACTGGAATAGACTTTTCATCATTGTGTTTTGCCTTTAGCTGTAATGTACACTGTCTCTGAATGTGGCCTGTCTTGGCACTGGAACTTTTGCAGATGGAAAGTCCTGTCTATACTTAGGGCCATATTGACTAAGAACAGTCTTGTCCAGGATGAAGACTCTTAGCTTCAGGTGAGGTGTGCAGTAACAGCCATGTGAACTCAGAGATGCCTATTAACTGTCAGGCCCCATTCACTGGGTAGTTTCTCTGCCTTAAAAAAAAATAAACCAATATTGGGCTGGAGGATTGGCTGTTGACCCAGCAGTTAAGAGTGCCCAGTTCCATTCCCAGCACCCACATGGTGACCTTCTGACCTCTGTGTCACACAGACAAATGTGGGCAAAATACTGACACACATAAGAAATTTCAATATTCACAAAACCTATACGGCTTCAAAACCCAGCTGGGAGGAATGGGATCTCAGCTGTTGTGAGATTGAGCAAGGGGCTCTCTTACCAGAGCTAGTTCTGAACAGGCCGGGTGTACTTTCACTTTCTGCCTGGGGCCCAGCCCTGGAAGAACTGATCTTCAGACCCAGCAAGACAGTCGCCTGACCTCTGGATGTTGAGTACTTACTGTGTGGAGGACAAAAAACATTAGCTTGCATTCTAATTTCTATAAAGAAGCATTTGTTCTCTAAGAGTTGAAATGTGCTCACCAGCCAACACATTTTAACCAAGATAACTTGTAAACTGACAACAGCTAACCAAACCTGTGCCTTGTCTCTCTGAGGACATCTGTTACACTAATACTTGAACATGTGCCTTGTGGTATTTGCTTTTTTAACTAGCTATGATAGCCTTAATTTTGAGGATTTGCTATAAGGTGAGTGGGGTGTGTGGGTGTATGTATGAATCAAAGTTCTTGGCAGAATATAAGAAAAGCATTTTTATAAAGTTGACTTTTTAAACAAACCAAAATTGTCTTTTTTTTTTTTTTTTTTTTTTTTTTTGCCATGTACAGGATTAACAAGCTGCTCACGGTATATTCTGTAGTTGTGGCATTGCTGTTTCAGTCAATAAATACTGAACATCAACACAAAATGGGTCAAGAATAACATTTCCCTGAAAAATACGTTATTAACATTGGAAAATGTTAGTGGGTTTTTTGATCAAGAGTCATGAACAGGGGGCTGGAGAGATGGGTCTTCCAGAGGACTCAGGTTCAATTCCCAGCACCCACAACTGTCTGTAATTCCAGTTCCAGGGGAATCTGGCAGCCTCATAAAGGCAAATGTACAGGCAAAACCAAAATGAACATAAAAAAATACAGCTTTAAAAAGGTCATGAACAGAAGTTAATCTTGAAAAATGTTTAATCAACTTCTTGAGGTTATGTACATGAACAGTGATTCTTGGAATGTTTGTGAATTACCAACTGGAGGTGGCACCCATGGGAAGGCTTCCCTACTTGGGAAGGCTTCCCAGGATGACTAATGGTCTCCGTCTCCCAGCAGACTCCGCTCAGGCTTTGCTTCTTCCACATCGTTCCAGTAAGGAAGCAGCCATGGCAGAGAGGAGACCTTCTTGTCCAGCAGTGGCCAGAGGTTGGAGAACAGAAACTCGTTTCCCTTTGGTGATAAATGCAGGCCATCTGATAAGTAGGATGAGAAGTCCTGTGGAGAGAGGAGTGATGTGTCACGTGCTTTCCTCAGGGCTGCACCAGTAACTGAGACCACAGTGGCCTCAGAGCGCTTCTGTATAGGTGCTTAGGGTATAAGACTCTTGCTGCCCCTGCTCCTATGTCTAACCAACCCATCGTCCTGCATCCCAAAGAGGCTCACTGAGAGCCTATGACCACGAGGCATTACAGAGTGCAGGTTGGGGTAATAACTGGGACCGCCTCGACTAGAATGGGAAGGCTGTGTAGACACCAGTCTCCCATCACTCCTCTGTCTAAACCCAGGATTCACTTGGAGGCCCATTCTGGCCTGGAGGAATCTTCATTCCCCTGATCCCTATGGAGACTGTTCAGAGACAGAGAATTCTAGTTCTAGTGGCCGTTCCCATCTGTATGGTTCTGGGTTAATGATCTGTAAGGACCCTAACTATGTTAAACTGGAAAAGACTGAGTAAAACCCGGCAGTGGTGGAAGATGCCCTTGTAGTACTTTCAAGCCATCTCTACGGGATTTATCTCTAATTTATTTTGCGTGGTAGGCCTGGAGAAGGGGTGCACATATGTTATGGAGGAATAAGGACAACTTGTAGGTATTTGGGATCAAACTCAGGCTTGGCAGTAAGTGCCTTTACCAGCTGAGCCATCTTGCTGGCCCTGGAGCAGATTTGTAATAAAAATCAGGTGATAAGCACTGAGGCTACCGTGGCCCTTCCTCTCTGGGAACAAAGCTTAGTTAAGGATGCTGAGGTGGACGGAGTCCTAGGGCTCCGAGAGCCTCCAAAGATAAATGGGACACTTCTCTCACAAATTGTTAATCTTGCCTTAAACTCTGAGTCTCTTGGGGACTGTGATGAAGTCTGCAGCCATTGGGCGTCCTGGAACTGGCTAATGGTCACCATCTTCCAGCACCAGTCCAGGCTGAACTTCCATCATGTTCTTTTATAGGAAGCAGCATGACCCTCTTTACAGATCAACTGACATTATCAGACCCTCCCAGGACCATGGAGAAGTGATAGATTGAGAACTGGGGGAGGGGGAAGTTAGCATCTGGTTTGCGGACTGTAGGCTTGAGTTTTTCTCTTTTGTCTACATGAAAAAACCAAACAGCTGTGAAGAACAGATCAGCTGGGGTAAAGTGAGTCCACGAGCAATTCAAACACCACAGTCCCCACCCCTTAGCTCCTCTCTGGGTCTAGGCATCACCAGGAAACGCCCCTAGAGAATAAGCATTTTACTAAGAAATAAAAATTCAGTTCCAGGATGGGACTCTGCAGCGTGCCTGCTTAGCACTACTTGGTCCCCAGCACCCCATAAACTGGCAGTGCACACCTGTAACCCCAACACCCCACTTGCGGGGGCAGAGGTGGGAAGTTCAGAAATTCAAGGTCACCCTCAGCTACAAAACAAGTTTGGGGCCAGCCTTGGGTATGAGACTCTCTCATGGAAAGGGGGCTAAAACAGATGTGTCTGACTGTACCTCTTATATGCTGTAGACCAGGAACGACGTGGAACCTGCCATTGTCACTGTCCTCACCCTAACCTGTCACTGAGCCTTGTCTGGATGTCATATAGCTGGAATCATGCACATGACTTCAGAGTCCTTCTTTCCTGTCAGCTTTATTGATGTTCCGGACATCATCAGCCTTGGCCTCTTTGCTGCCCAGGACTCTGGATCTGGGTTTACTCAGTCACCTAGAGAAAGATGGGTGACTCGGTTCTAGCTTTGGCTTAGTGTGGATACTGCCAAAAAAATAAAAAACTATATGTGCACGGCTTCATCCTGTCAGTGCATGTGTGACTACTGTACAAAACCATCCGGCTGCCCTCCTGAGCGGCTGGCTGCACTTCACAACAACTAGCTTTTCCATATGTATTTGTCTTCAGGCTTTAAGACAAAATAATTCAACTAGAATGGCATCTCAGTCTCTGGATTTTGTTAGTGAAGATATGTCACTGTTTTTTCTGAACTCTGCCCTGCTTTTACATACGTAAACTTGGCCACTGATGGTGTTCTACGGTAACCTGAGGTTCTGACTGCCTTCCAGGTCTTCCTCCTGAAAAGCACGGCTGACATTTATGTCTTTTGAGACACAGCTTTATGTAGCCAGGCTGGCTCCATGCTACGTAGCTAGGGCTAGCCTTGAACTGACCATTCTACCCTCACTGCCCACATTCTGGGATTTCAGGCATGCACCACCATGCCTGTCTGAAGAACCCTTCCAGGAGAGCTGCACATCCCTTGCTTTACACCTCTGATCCCAATAACCCCGAAAGGCCCGAGAAAACCACAGTACCTGGTTGTCCTTCTGCATCAGGGTCCACAGGTCAAGGACATTAGTCCCACAGTCTCTGGCTACTTGCAGACACGCATTAGCATATTCACCGACGATGGAGTTCAGGCGATTTAATTTGCAGCCTGTTAGTGACAACAGAAGGTCACTGGCAAACTTATTGCTGGTCCTTATTAAGCTACAGTGACTGGACTGTTTCTAAATGCCACTGATGCCAGCCTGCCCGGGGGCTATGACAATGGCACTGCTCTGTACAAAGGACAGATCAGGGAAGAGCGGCCAGCTGTAGGTAGCATCTAGAAACTTCTAAGATAGGGTGCAGAGGCTGACCAGCTAGAGAGCAGACCACAGTGAGATGGGTTAGGGACATGACTAGAAACATCGAGACCATGAGATACACACTGCCACTGAGCACCCAAGTGTCAACATGCAGCCACTAGCTACTGCAGCAATGTGAGAAAAGTCTACAGTCTGCCCGAGCCTGCTCCTATGTGCCCGGAAACAACATGCTCAGCCATTCTGAGGCTTTCCTAGTTACGGCCATATTTTCTCTTTCGTGCAGATTCTAGTACACAGTGTACACACTTAGCCATGAACATGCTGCCCACCTCCCTAGTCTAGGAGGAAGGCAGACAACCCAGAGCATGTGGCAAACATGCCCAGCTTAGTGCCAGAGCTGGGGAGAACCTCAGAGTGCAGGTAGGGAAAGAACGACTGCCCTAGTTTTGACCTGTGCTGAAAGCCATTTAATGTGTACCGGTCAAACCATCTCCGGATTCAGGCCGCTGAGACAAAGTCCACAGAACACCTTTCCAGTCAAGTGTGCCAGCATGAGAGTGGCCATGCTGAAGAGACAACACACACAGGGAAGAAAAGAGGGATTTTTTTTACCATCACTCCATTCTCCAGCTGCCGAAGGAGGCCAAAAAGGAGCAGCTCCTAGCGGCTGGAAAAGGAGTCACCTGCAGCGCTCGGCTGCAGGTGGCTTCCCGGTGCCAGCGGAGAGCACCTGTCTGCCCTAGCTGCAGCTGGCAGTGGGCTTCGTGTACACTGTGGAAATGGCAACTACAGATGGTGCTTGGGCACTGATGCCCTCCTGACCTACACACCAGAATCCCTGCCCCACTTTATGTCTAAAACAGTCTATAGTAAGACATCAGGAGTTGATCTCCAGTTGACTGACAGGGCCCCGGAGTGAAGCCCCCAGCACCCACATGCAGCTGTGACAGGCCAAGCATGCTTTGTTCACCTTTCAGGATACATTCTTTCTCCCAGGCTGCTTCGCCCAGCGGGGGTGGGGTGATGAGAATGACTCGCTCCTCCAGGATGTCCACAGACCTCAGGTACTGCACCATGGCCCTCAGATTTGCACTGTACTCATCCAAGGGGACATGCTGCTTGGGGTTCTCATCTGTTCAAGACATGCACACCTCAGTCTGAACGCTTTGCCAGAAACAAATAAGGTACAATATATACTCCTTTTTAAAAAACATTGGTTTTTGCGACAGTTTCTTGCTAGACAGGTTCTAAATTCACTAGATAGCTAAGATGGGGGTCTCACTGTGTAGCCCTGACAGCTTGGAACTCACAGAGACCCTACTGTCCTCTGTACCTCCTAAGTGCTAGGAAGGTAACTGAACTCAGGGGTGTACACACCAGGCAAGCAGTCTACCCACTCTTCGACATCCTCAGGCCTTCGTGGGGTTTATTGTTGTTGCTTTGTGGGTTTTTGTTTTGTTTTTAGACGGTTTCTCTGTGTAGCCTTGGCTGTCCTGGAACTCTGTAGATCAGGCTGGCCTTGAACTCACAGAGATCTGCCTGCCTCTGCCTCCCGAGTACTGGGATTAAAGGTGTGCACCACTGGCAGACCTTTCTGTTCTGAGACAGGATCTTACTCTTCTTATTCAGGATGGCCTGGACCTTGCAGACATCTTTCTGTCTCAGCACCCCAGGGCTGAGGCCACAAGCATGTGCCACTACTCCCAGGCAGGAATATACTTTTTTGCAAATTTACAAAAATTTGAGTACCAGAAGACACAAAGAAAAGATTCCCTCCTCTTTTTTTTTTTTTTTTTTTTTTTTTTGTTTTTTTTTGTTTTGGTTTTTTGAGACAGGGTTTCTCTGTGTAGCTTTGGAGCCTGGGACTTGGCACTTGCTCTGGAGACCAGGCTGGCCCCAAACTCAGAGAGATCCGCCTGCCTCTGCCTCCTGAGTGCTGGGATTAAAGGGGTGCACCACCAAAGCCCGGCTATGACTCCCTCCTTTTAAAGCCAGTTACCTCTGCTGTTCACAGCTCAGGCCTCAGGCGGCCTAGAGCCTTTTGAGCTTGCTGGTCTTCTCTCTACGTTCCCCACCACCAGTAAGACTGCCTCAGCTCCAAATCTGCCTGTCATGGCTAGTCACTTAACCTCAGAAAAATGCCCAACCTTCTGAAGATCATGTCCTCATTAGGAATGAGGGGAACGGCAGCTCCACCTCTTGGGACAGCTGTGGAAATAATTAAGTGTGTAAAACATGCATCAGACTACAAAGGCTTGCTTCCAGTCAGGCTGGCACACAAGCACAAGGCGCTCTCTGCAGAGTCTGTGCAAACCACAGGGAGTGAAAAGCAAAGTCACCCATAACCTGCCATCCAGGTTACTGCTGGTGATTAGATGTGTTCCTGGCCAGTCTTTCTCTGTACCATGTGTAATTTAAGGAATTTTTTTTGCTTAACCAAAAATAAATAAATAAAACAAAACAAAACAAAAAAACAACCAAACAAAGAAAAAAAAAAAAACAGTAACGGGCCAGGTTGGCACACCCCTATCATTCCTAACACTTGAGAAGTAGAGGCAGTAGGATCAACTAGCCTTAGCTACCTAGTGTGTTCGAGGTCAGCCTGGGCTACAGGAGATGTTGTCTCTAACAAAAAGACTCCTTTTTTGCCAGAGACAGCATATCCCAGAGGCAAGCCCTCTGCTGCCAACTGCAGCAGCTAAAGACACTGGAGTGCAGGAACAAATGACAAATAATTTCAGGTAGGCCAACAAGGCAGCCATGTGGAAAATGAGCCTGGAGTACCTGAGCCAAATCTAACCACATCAAAGCCCAAAGAAACCCACACAGGCAAGCTCCAGGAACGCAGTGTTCTCTGGAGATACATATAAACATGGGTTTGCTCAAGTCCAGGAAAAACAGTTGATCTAGAAATGCCCCTTACCTTTGAGTGTGGCGTCATTGGCACCGAAGAAAACTGTAACTGCTACTGGGTTTTCCATGCCGCTCCCTTTACTAATTAATCTTGGGAGGATAATCTTGGCCCATCTGGTATTGTAACCTGAAAATCCACGATTCAGAACGTCACATTTTCTGAAAGAAATTTGGTTAAAAAAAGAGGGGTTATGAGCAAAGAAAGAGTGGCATCCTTGTAGTGTTGAGAGCCTGCCCAGCCTCCCTCAGTGAGACGTGGATTCCATACAAGGGGCTAAATCTAATTCTGTACATGTTTGTGGTGGCTAAGTATGGACTTTCTGATGGATGGTAATCTGGGCAAGTACAGAATGCCAGAGACCGGATAACAGGGAGAAACTCAGTGGTTTGGAAGATTATAGGCAGGCACCCCAGCCAACCCAAGTGCCACCTGATTTCACGAGGTGGCAAACTCGATTCTGCACCCAAGTGTCTGCCTTGTGTTCCTTTAACCAAGGAGGGAAAAGGCCAACAGACAAAAACGCAGTGTGTCTTCACTCTTCCCACGAGGCTTCCCATTAGGAAGCAGCTGAGTAGGATCTGAGAGTTTGTTCTCACCTGACAAGTCGGTCAGCCAGCAATGCGCCCCATCCACCTGGCTGGAAAGAAAACTGAAGAGAAAAGCCTGTTACTATCCATGCAGCCGGACACAATGGCAAAGGCGGTGGGGAAGCCCTTTAGATGCAGGCTGGTCTTGACACCCCCCCTGGGTTTCCTGCCTTCCTTGCTTGGGAAGGTATCTTGGGGGGTCACTGTGGCCTCACTTGGTAGGTGTCTGGAAATGCGGTTTTCTTTATCCAATGAACCCGAGTCAGTCGTCTACATTTTACTGTGAGTTAACATTAGCGACATCTGTTATCTGTACAGGAGAAACTCAGCTATGTTGAGTTAGATGACATCGTGTTATCTAAGGAAGCCAATTCCCTAACAGGGCAGTCCTCTAGCAGCATCGCGCCACCACGGCCACCTACGAAAACCTAAGAATAATGTTGCTAATTATTAGGGAAAGCCATTCCTGAATATTAGGAAACCACAGGAAAGCGGTTTTTCTATCTTCCCGAGGGAAGGCATCGTGAGGAACTTCCTTAACTGGGAGTTAAACGGTGTTAGATGACAGGATTACTTTTTCGTACTGTTGGAAGCATTTTGTTTTCAAAACCACTTGGTAAGGGTGTCGGCTCAAAGTTCAAAGCGTTTTTGGCGAGGAACCCACAGGAGGCTGCGGGAAGCGAACACGGAGAGGCTCCGGACCCTCAAAGCGCCTCCCCATGAGCACCCCCGATGCGCACCGGGTTATCTAACGTCCCCCTGAAAAGACGCGGACTTGGCCCGGGGTTCCACACCAGCCCACAAAGGTGCACGGCCCTCGGAGCACGAGGAGAACCGCGCCAGGCCTGCCCGGCACACGCGCGGACACAACCGAGGGTTCGGTGGGTACCTGCGTGATGGAGTCCCCAAAAAGCACCACCCGAGGCCACAGCAGAGAGCTCCCGCTGGCGGCCCGCTCGCATAGCGCCATAGTGGCCCGCTCGGAGCAGCCGGTCTGCGCCGGATGTGGATGCTTCTGAGGGGGCGGGGACATTGAGGGCGGGGCGAGGCGGCTCCGCTCTCTGGCCTCCTCCTGGTCGTGTTCTCTAGGCCGGGTCTCGCCTGACTCCATCGCTCCCAGACAGGCGATAGCTCGGGTGTCCTGGAGACTTGAGCAGCTCAGTGTGCCCAGCGGCAGCTGCCGGAGCTGGGACCCGTTTCATTAGGCACACCTGTCCATCACTGGCAAAGCCCAAGTGAGGCTTGCCTCTTGTTGGTTATAGGCCTTGATAGTCACAGTAAGGCGGCAACTTTGAAAGCCAGAGCTGCCCAGGGATCCTCACTCCAGACCACCTGACTCCATGGCATCGTGCCCCAGCATTAAAACGAAATGCTTAGATTTATGTAATAAATTTTTGTATGATGTTGGCGTCCTAGACTTTTGATACGGGCCAGAAATGGGAATTGGACTGTTTTTATAGAAATTTCATTCTAAGGAAGTCAGACTTAAACTTTGTTACCAAAGCACAGTAGTGTTTACATACCTAGGAGGGGAGGTCCATGCTAAGCTTCCATTTGCTCAATTCCTCAGCTTCATAGTGAGTGTGCTCTGAGGGTGAGGCACCAGCAAGTTCCTGTCTCTCTCAGGAGAAAGGCTGTAATCACTGAGACCCACCCCTCCCCTCCATCCAGTTATTTCCTGGCCTGAATTTTGTGTACTTTAGGAATGAGACTAATCCACACAATACATCTTTGTAAAACCAGCTCTGATCTGAGTGTTTGGATCTCTGAAAGGGGTGATTTTACAAAAGTAAGAATTCCGAAAGGGGGTAGAGAATAGGTTTCAAACCTGTGGCACAATATTTGCCTTCAACTCCAAACACAGACATGCTAATACTGCTTTTCCTTTCTGAAATACAGGAAGATGGATTCTGACACAGCTGCTGGAAGATCTATAGGACTCCAGCAGCAATGGGAAATGCCAGCAGGCAGCTCCAGTGAGGATAGTTGGAGAACAATGGACAAAGTTGGTGGCCCAGCAGGAATCAGGCCATCTGATTTGGAAGGAAACAGGCCACCAGAGAGAAACTAGGTATTTTATTTGGAGTAACAGAGGTAAAGGTAAAAAAGTTCAAGTGCTGGGAATCAAGGCAGTCAGTGCACAGGTGTCAGGGCTGCATACAGCCTCTGGGCAGCCAGTTCCACCATTTCTCTGAGGGACTCATCATCTTCACTGCCTTCTTCACATTCTACAATCTGAAAGCAAAAGCACAAACTTCAACCTAGAGCCAATCACCCCATGGACTCAAATGAACTCTAAACTCTGGAGGCTGCTTGCCAGGACTCAGAGCCACTCACCTACCCACATGTGGCTCGCACAGTGTTCAGATAACAGTGACTGGAGAGCTGAAGGGGCGGGGCAGGAACAGACTCTTCCGCCAAAGTCCCTACATCTATCCAGTACACAATATTCTATGCAAGTCAGTCTGTGTAGCAGATTGTTTAGCAGGCAATGGGTGTGGTAAACTATTCACCATTTGATGATATTTGACTCAAACTAACCACCTTATAGCCACTGCCTTGTTACTGCTGTTATTTTTAAAAGGTAACATTAGTCTCACTGTATAGACTGGCTTCAAACTTGCTATATAACTCAGGCTAGCCTAGAACTCATGATCTTCTGCCCCAGCCCAGTGTCACAGAGTTCCAAAGCCAGCCTGGGTCACAGGATAAGAACCCCTATCTCACAAACCAACCCAGGATCCAGGCTGTTTGGATTATAGGATGAACTTCCACATGCTCACGTCTATGTGTCACCAGGGAGAACCCAGGGCTTTGTCCAGGTTGTGAAAGCCTCAACCAACTGAGCCAGCCTCCAGCCTCCAAACTGTAGCACCCAACTGCCAGGGCTGCAATACTATTCCTGTCTTCACCTCATCCCTAAATGTCTTGAAACACACAGATAGCTACATACCCGAGTCTCCAAATTAATATTCGCTGTTTTCCCGTCCACTGTGACACTGAGGACAGAGTCATCTTTCACACTGACACAGTCTTCTCCAAATATGTCCCTTTAAGTGAACAAAAATTGATATTACTGAGAAAAATCCAACTTTACCGGTGTGGGAGGAATTACACTGAAGAGAGGCCCAAGTCCCAGAAGTAGAATGCTTTTATTTAGCTACTCTGGAGACATGCTGTTGCTGTTGATTATCTGTTCTACAACAGCTGAAACACAGCTCTAGTCATGGGAATGCTCCACTGTTCCATTTAGCAAGCATGAGCTTTGGTTGTTTTTAATTTAATACCAGGATTAAGCTTGGGGCCTTGCATTCTAGGCAGACATGCCACACCAGCTCTTTAAAACAGGGTCTCACAAAGTTGCCTAGAATGGCCTCCAGCTTCTATGTAGCATAGATCTTATGACCCTCCAGTTTGGGGTCAACTTGGGCAATACAGTGAAGCTATGTCTCTTAAAACACAAAACAAATCAAAAAGCCAATGAAAGCTATTATTAAAAAGCCACTGTTATCAGTATGAAATTTTAGAAAAACATAAAGGACACAAAATCTTCCCAAATACTAAGATTTCTATCCTTGTCACTCTCAACTTAGATGCAGAAGCAGCCATTGTCATGATTGGAACCTGCAATGTCCTCAGAGGACATCAAAATTGGCTGCCAGGTGATGGGTTCTGACCTAATTCACCAAGCGATTCCTTCCCTTACAGACTCACATCAGGCTGGCATTGGCACAGCTGCAATGGTAACAGACATGAGGCCTGGGTGAGGAAGAAAGACACCGGGAGCATGACTGTGAAGGGGACAGCCTGTGTGTGACTGTGAAGGAAGGGGACAGCCTGTGTGTGACTGTGAAGGAAGGGGACAGCCGGTGACTCTGAAGAATGGAATATAGTGAGCTTCCTCCTCTCCTGCACAATCCCATCACCACAATGCTCTACTCCACATCAGGACAAAGCCAAGGCCACCTGGCCATGGCAGAGCCCTCTGAACCAGGAGCCAAAATGTATCTTTCTTCCCTTTGTCTTGCAGACATTTTCTCTAAAGAAAACTAAGTTATTCATTCACCAAGCAAATGATACGATATTGGGTGCTGAAACTATGAATTAACTATCCACTGGTAAGAGGTTTCCTAAGATCGCTTAGAAAACATCCCAAAGTCAGCTGAAAGAGCACCCACAGGAAGGCACTGTGGTAGAAACACACCAGACTGGAGACATTCACAGTTACAGATAGACTTACTGGAAAGAGGCTAAACACCCACTTTACCAAACAATTCACGTCCAAGCCAATACTTAAAATAACTCTTAAAGGCACAGTGACATTCAGCTGACATCACACTAGTTGACAGATGTGCAGGCTTCATAAGGCTGGAGCACTGGCATGTGGCAACAACCACAGTGTGAACTTGGACATAACTTACTTAGTACATTAGCAGGACAGGGACACACCATGAGTTCAGCATTCCCACCCGCATACACACACACCCATGCACCCGCACACCCAGCTGAGACTTACTGCAGCATGACCTCCAGCCTCTTGCTATAAACGTGCATCTCTAACTTCTTAGAGACCTTCTGCACCGCACCTGAAGGACAAGCAGCTCAGTCACCAAACAGGTCACCAGAGCATGAAGTAACCATGGAGACCTCAAAGTCAAAGCATGTGCTGTGCCATCTGCTCACATAAGGCAAATTCATGTGAATGTCAGTTCGTGTTTTTATAAAGGAACCACAACAACACCCAGTTCACTTTTATTTCCCAATTTTCTCAAACTTACATTCTGAGGAGAGGTGACTAAATTATAGGTCCACAGACTTCTGGACCATTAATCTGTATCTAAACGTTATGTATCAGCTATAGCATCTGATACGAATATTTTAATAAAATCAATACTTAAGGGCTGGAGAGATGGCTCGGCATCCTCTTCTTTTTTTTTAACCCCAACAAACACACAACTTGATGGTCATGATAAGTCATCTTTAATCTGGAGTTAAGGTCACCCTGGCCTATCCATTCCTACGCCTCCCTGGCCTGCACCAGCTATACAACAGTGCCCATTCATGGTCTCTGTTTCCCCAAAGGGTAGGCAGACTTGACATGTGAAGTGCGCACACACAAATTCTCTTTCCCTGAGCCATCATCTTATTACCACATGGCCCAGTGCTCACTGCATCACTCAGGCTGGCCTCAGACTTGCAGTGACCCTCTTTCCTCTGACGCCCAAGTGTCAAGATTACAGCAATGTGAACCACCCCATTTTCAACGTTTTGCTTTTTTTGATTCTACTAGACAGGGTCTCTTTTCTCTTGTAGAGTCCAGGCTGGCACTAAACCTGGCCTTGATCTCACCCTCCTGCCCCACTGGTCAAATGCTGGGGCGACATGCGTGCACCACCGTGCCTGACCAGAACCATTCTCAGTGCTGAAGAAGGTTCCAGGACCAGATGCCCACTAAATGGGTGCTCTCAGCACTGAACCACACCAGCCCCACAGAGCAAACAGCAGCACTGTTCACAGAGCTAAAGGCGAGGATGAAGACTGAGCAGAGACTCTCACACTGCCATGACCCACAACCAAATGCTCCCCAGCAGCTCAAGGGAGGATATGGACATGGCCGGCTTACTCATGTCACTCATGTGACAGAGTGGCCAACACAGAAAACTTAGGGAGTGACCAGTTCCACTTCCCTCCCCTGTGCCCATTCTGTCTCTAGGGGGACATTCTATCCTGAACAGGCTCTGGTATCCTGTGTGGGTCTAGAGTGGGGGGAATCTCCCAGAATACCTCAGGGTGCCTCCTTGTCTGATGGCACATCTGGAGTCCACTGTGCAGCCACAGGGCCAAGCCGCCAGCCAGCTTCAGCACATGCTCTCACTAGTTAGAGCTGCCATTCTATTCAGCACCTTCCCTTGAACATGAAGCCAGCTCTCTCCCTGAGGGACATGCTGGCTCAGCGGAGCAGTATCTTAGCATCTCTGTTCACAATGTTTTAGGAGAACTGTAACTAAACAGGATTCTACCTTTGTGAATGATGAGCCAGAAT